GTTATTTGTAAAATAGCATATTCTTGTCTGAATTCAAAAGAAAGAATCATCGTCGTAAAAGGTATACAAGGATAAACTTGAATAAATTCATGAATGACAATTTCATGAATGGTTCCAAATGGAGGTAAGAAATGGTTTCAAATAGATATTTGCTTCTTTTTTCTTGTAACTTTTTTTTGTCCTTTTCCTCATCAAGCCAACCGTCTTCAAGCTAGCAATCTTATTCCAACCACCCTTTAAGCCAAATGTAGTAATCTTGTGTTAATTATTTTGGTTTTTGAATGCAATTGCTTAAGATTAATTAGTGTCATAGATGTTTTGGTGACAATTTGGTAAGAAATGGTTTGAAGTAATTGAAGGTAATAGAACTTCTTTACTTAGCGACAATCAGTGTCATATGTCTGAATTGATAAATATTTTGAATATAAAGATGAATAAATTTTTATTGTTTTATGATTGATTTTAAGAACGAATTTTTCTGAGTTTGTAGTAGGGGTGGGCATTTGGATGGGTAACCGAATGGTTATCTAGAAATCAAACAAAAAAAATAAATTTGGTTCGGTTTCAATGGTTTTTGGTTTTTAATGTTTCAGTTTTGATATTAATCAAATAAATTTTAATTCGGTTTCGATTGAATCTTTCAAAAACCAAAAACCAAAAATAAGCCTCTTGAAAACCAAAATTAGGATAAATATGACAAAATATGACAAAATATGAGATAAAATATAATGTATTATTAGAAAAATAATTTATTAATATTTATTTAGTAAAAACCAAAATCAAACTGATTTTATTGGTAACCAAACCGATTGGTTTGTGAAAATTTTGGTTCGATTTCAATTCTCAAAATTGAAGAAATTTTTTTTTTGTTATTTTAAAATCGATTTCGATTTTAACCGAAACCGATTTTTATACACCCCTAGTTTGCAAGAACTTTAAAATGCCTGAAAATAGAGTATGCAGGGTAAAAAAAAAAAAAAGTGATTTTAGACATTTATTTGAACACTTATATAGGTCAATTTCAGGCGCTTAAAAATTAGGATTTTCCAACCC